CCACCCCCAAACGAGCATATGACGTTTCTCGTGGAAAAAATCGATATGTGAGGCTTAATTCCCATAACTAATAACTATTGGCAAACGGTTGCCGGTGGTCAGAATGTCTGACACTATCAATCCAAAATTCGTAAATTAGTATTGCAGGAAACATGCCGATTGTCAGAGAATCTTTTTTATCGAGTATATATTTATAAAGAATATGAGTGTACACAACGCAACCATGTCCAAATGACGTTTCTCCTGGGATAAATCGATGTGGACGTGTTAAAATAGCAGGTGTTTCTGTTTACACAAAAATCAAGAAATCATCTGTATCTATTATCATTACCTAGCTGTCGGTAAATAATTTGGTATTTATTCCACATTTACTTGCAATGGCCGATGCTTCCTGAAACTTTACTTAAATATCGATAAGATCTCTTATAGACTAAAGTTGATGTTATTAAGATTACAATTTACAAAAAAACAGACAAGGAACTACATTTAGGAATGTTTTACTAATCGAGTCCATGTTTTACTAATCGAGTCCATGTTTTACTAATCGAGTCCATGTTTTACTAATCGATTCCATGTTTTACTAATCGAGTCCATGTTTTACTAATCGAGTCCATGTTTTACTAATCGAGTCCATGTTTTACTAATCGAGTCCATGTTTTACTAATCGAGTCCATGTTTTACTAATCGGGTCCAGTCCATGTTTTACTAATGAGTCCAGTCCATGTTTTACTACATGCCATTGTAGATGAGGGTTTTCGAGTGAAAATTTATATATTTGTTAGACCTACTTGTTATTTCACTTATTTGTTTGATCTACTTGTCATTACCTGTGTTTTTAACACGTTAATAAGATCATCCTTTTCCTCCACAGCAACGCGAAGTGAATCTGCAATGTGCATTTTTGCTTTCTTCTCAAGTTCAATGGTCTGCAAAAAAGCAGAAATACATGTAGTTTTGCATAACAACAGTCATGTATAATTTGAGAAACAACAGCATGATATACTACAATACCTCCTTTAACTCTGAGATTTTTCTGATCTGCTTATCCTGGCTTTGCCCAAGATTATGCTAAACAAAATATGCAAGGAAAAAATCGGCAATTTAATCAAAATGGGAAATCTAGTCAGTCGGCGACATTCAGACGTGATTTTTTGTGTGTGTTTTGACTTTTGATTGTATGTACTCAGGTGAATATAATGGTGTTGATGTTACTCTGAGTGTATATCCACATCGGGCAGACTGAAAACTTAGCCTGACCACGGTGGGAATCGAACCCGCGACCTTTGGGATACTATAGTTCAACGCTCTTCCAACTGAGCTACGAGGTCAAGTCGGTTCGAGTGTGTGGTATTTCGGAACTAAGTCCAGTACCTTCCATACCAATGTGTTCTTATGATCATGATTGTTTTGTGTGTGTTTTGATGTTATGTACTCAGGTGAATTAATGTTGTTATGCATGATCTTACTCTGAGTGGTCAAGCTAATTTTTCAGCCTGCCCAGTGTGGATACACACTCAGAGTAACAACAACATTCAGACGTGAGTTAAGAAATGTCTCCTGTCATAAACGAAACAGTATTTACACAGTTTTAGTAATTAATAATAATTTTATTCGTTAGACATTCTACACAATGTTAAACAAAACTTTGTAACTTTCCTCGTGTTTGGAGAAACCGCATGAGCTTCGTTATAATAGAGAGTTTAAGTCGATCTACGACGCGGCAAGTCAACGACGCGCCTTCAAAACAAGGAAATTCTTCATGCAAGACAAAAAGTACGAATACTTCGTGGTCCCACGGGTGTCCTCAACATCGTTGATATTGTGAATACAACTGCCAGCCAGTTACGACTGAAAATCTCAAATCTCAAATGTTTCCTTGTGGTGTGTAACTACTACAGTACTCTCTTTTTCAAAAAAATGTCACAATGTTTGCTTACAAAGTACATGGAGTTGTCGACAGATCAATATTGTCGTATAGTTTTGGAGCAACACAGTACCTGCAACTTTTCATTTTCTTTCTGCAAGTTTTTGTACGCATCCACAACCTAAAGAAGAATGAACAATGATGTTGCAAGATTGTTTCTTATTTTAACATACTGTACTTGTATTTTTCACTGTTGTACATTACTATTTTACAGTCAGCCATCAGTTAAGAATTATTCTCCTGGGGCCGGTTGTTCAAAAGCTGGTTAGCTTAACCCTGGGTTAACATGCACAGGGTTTAACCTAGTGTTTTGATTTGTGTATTTTGCGCACGTCTGCACATTTCCAAACTTTCGAAAATAGAACTTCTTCATATTGAATAAGATTTCTAGAAAAACATTCCAAATTTATACTGTACACAATTTGTTGCAAACTTTAGTTTGACATTTTCTTTAACCCAGGAGGATAAAGCCTAACCAAACAGTCAGCCCCTGGAAGGAGTTATACTGTACCTCAGAAAATTTGGTTTTATAACGTGTCAGAGCTTTTTCTTGCTTCTTTGCAAGTTGTAAGAGTTCATCTTTTGTTGCCACATCAAATTTTTTACCAGCGTCGGAGTCATCAGATTTATAATCTGGTTTTTCTGGGCTCTGTGCTACAGCAGATGTTTTATTTGGTGTGGTATTTGGAGTCTCAACTTCTTCAGATGGTTCAGCAGAGTCACTCTTGGGTGATGATGATACATCATTTTGTGCTCGACCAGCCTGACAAATATAAATGAAATTCTTTAACAGTCTGTCTTCCGAATGCAACATGTTTTGCCATACTGTGCAGCATTGCAGCATTTATTATTTTACTCTGTTTAATGCCAGATCATGATTTTACTTGTCAAGGAGAGACTGCTGCCACTTAAGAGGTTAAAAAGAAAAACTTCAATATTGCTAAAGCAAGGGTCAGCCAATTGTGCCATTAAATACATTTGGATGACTTTGTTACATCACATTCAAGTCGAAACGAAACCACCGAAATGAAACGGCCGAAACCATCGAAAACCACCGAAAATCTAAATTACAGGGAAAATGCAAAAACATTAAAATATGAAATTTACGGGAAATTTTATTGAAATTTTAAGACAATTGGGGAGGGCGGTGAGGACAACCCAGAGGAATTTGACTACATTAGCACAGAATACTAACCTATTCACAAAGTCATCTCTACTGTCTTTTGTGTAAGTGCTATTCATCATGCATCGATCCGCCCCTCGGCAAGTGCCCTAAACAGAAGCAGTCACCCCCTGACGTCATCGCCTTTTTGGATATTTCCAGGGGGTGACTGCTTCTCTTTAGGGCACTTGCTGAGGGGCGGATCGATGATGAATAGCGCTTGCCCAAAAAAAACAATAGAGATGACTTTCTGAATAGGTTAGTATTCTGTGCTAATGTAGTCAAATTCCTCTGGGTTGCCACAGCCCCCTCCTCAATCGTCTTAAAATTTAAAAAAAAATTCCTGTAAATTTCATATTTCAATATTTTTGCATTTTCCATTTTTCCTGTAATTTATATTTTGGTGGTTTCGTTTCAGTCGTTTCGGCAGTTTCATTTCGACAGGGCTTTCAGAATTACTGTATATGAAATTTTAAAAGATTTAAACTTTTCGGTCGCACATGTGAAAAATGTGTAACTGGAAAACAGCCCTTGGGCACAATGCTTGCAGTATATCGTATCTGTATGACCAAATGTGTCACTTTGCCGCCCTTATTAGTCTGCACCGTAGACGGACATACACTTCTTTGGAAAATTGGAAATAAAAAATCTGCTACATTTTTTAACGTACTTTTTTATTAAGAAATTTACCGGTCACACATGTCCGCCAGGCGACGATACATGTATTTGCCGGTCAAACTGTGAAATTTTACCGGTCAGTGACCGGCACTTATTTCGAGGTCTGGTGGTTCACACGAAATATTACGTTGGTGATTTTAACTAGTCTAATAATAAGAGGGTAGGATCAAAGTGGGCGTTGTCACTCGATAACCCAATCAGCTATCCAGGGACGTCGCTAAGGCATCAACATTGGGGGGGGGGGGCCATGTTTT